GAGGTGCAAGGTGCTCCTGGGGTCACTCTCACGCTGCCTCAGGGAGCTGCCATGAAGTTGCGGCAGGCTGGAGGGTGGGGAGGTGCTGCGGCCCTGCGGGTCCACCCAGGTGTAGATGTGGTTGGTGACATAACCCCCTGGGATACGCCCTGCTGAGTACACGGACAGCACCAGCTTCTTGGAGCCCTTCAGAGCCTAGAGAGAGAGGGACACATGGGTTAGTGAGGGCTGGGAGAGGCGACGGACATCCTCCCTTTACCCAATGTCACTTCCTGCCAGGACTCCACACATGGAGCAGGAGGCTACTCTAAGTCCTGCCCTTTACCTAGCCCTTGCTTTTGCCCTATGGAAATGGGAACAGCTGCTCATCCTTATCTTAAAAAGGTTCAAACACAAGAAAAATGATCTCTTAGCATACGGTGCAGAAAGAGTTAGCATATCAGCCTTGTGACTATTACCCTTAGAAAGTCCTACTTATAACACTGGTCCTTGGCGTGAGTCTGGGAACTTAGATTTGGGGAGTGCTTCCTTAAGGCACTCTGGTGACACAGTGCTTAAGGCATCTGGCTAACCAGAAGGTTGGCAGTTTGAACCTACTAGCCACTCGGTGGAAGGAAGATGGGGCAATCTACTTCCACACAGATTTACAGCCTCAGAAACCCAACAGGGATCGCTAGGAGGCAGAATTGACTCGATGGCAGTGATTGAGTCCGCCATTCCTTAGTAAAGAGGCTCACTGTGCCTAGGCTGTGCAGACAATGTGTTTTATGCCGAACACCTGCTTTCCTTCCAGAAGTCTAGAATGTTGGCACAGGCACAGGGTGCTATGTCACCAGGCCCCAGTGCTGAGTCTCTAACAAGCTCCCCTTGGAGACAGCACTTTGCACATGTTGTCACAATTCAGTGCTGGAGGAATTAAGCGTGTCCTGTGGGTCACCACTGGGAGAAAGCTCTTGGAAATGTGTGCCTGGTTTCCCTAGACTACACCCCCTGCACCTTTTCCCTCTACCGATTCTGCTTTGTGTCCTCTCACTGTGATAAATCCTCGCCATGAAGGATGACTGACGACATGCTCAGTCTTGTGAGTTCTTCTAGAGAATCCCCAAACCTGGGGATGGTCTGGGCAACTGTGACACAGGACCAGACAAGAGGGTCAGGAGATCAAGAAACTGATAATAACAACAGCTTCATGTCCATAAAAAGAGCTCTGGTGGTACAGTGCCTAAGGCATTTGACTGCTAACCAGAAGGCTGGTGGTTCAAACCCACAAGCCACTCTGCAGAAGGAAGACTGGGCAATGGATTCCTGTAGCGATTTACTGCCTCAGAAACCCAAAGGGGCTCCTCACTCTAAGTTGGAATCGACTCGATGGCAGTGAGTTTGGTTTTGGTTTTCATGTCCATAAAGGGCCTGCCATGCTGGTCCCCCTGCCCTGTACCCGACAAGTGTTACCTCATAAAATCCTCATGGAAGCAAGTGAGCAAGTGTCCTGTTCCTCAGGTGAAGAAATGGAGGGAAGTCACATCCCCACACAACTGGCCAGGGGATCCTTCCCCACAGTAAGCAATCGTGAGTGTAGATTCCACCCTTACTCTACCTCTTCTCACCTGAGGATGGAGTAACCACAGGGAGGTAAGTCTGGACTGACTCTACGCCCTGGAGGAAACCTGAGATGGGCCATCTTACTTTCCCACAATGCACTTGGAACTGAAATGGAGACATGTATTCAGGGAGACAGGGGTCCCCGGGAGGTGCAAAAAGTTGATACACTTGGCAGCTAAGTATAAGGTTGGAAGTTCGAGTCCATCCCCAAGCTCCCTGGAGAAAGGCCTGATGATCTACTCAAAAAAAAAAAAAAACATTGCCCATTGAAAAGTCTATGGAGCACAGTTCTACTCGGACACATACAGGGTCACCGTGAGTCGGAACTGACTTGACGGGAACTGGTTTTTCATTCAGG